ATCGAAGCCTGGGTAAATAAACAAGAGAAAAATAATGATAATGTCATTAGTAGTAGTAATAAAAATAATGAAATCATAAATAAAAATAATAAATAATATTAAATAATTGCAAATGAACCTAAAGTATAGGGATACACATATATGGCTTTAGGGCCATGTATTCCCTCCCATACAGTTCACATTTATTTCAATATTTATATCTAGTGATTCGAATTTTATGAATTAGACACCTATTGAGAGAATTTGAATGGTAGTTGTTTTTATTCAAAACAGCCAGATATTGACTGAGTTATGGTAATTTCAGTTAATTTGATACAATTTTTCTCATGATATGTATTACTTTATTAATAGCAATAAAAAATTATAATTCATATGGAATTTCTGTATCTATAGATCAAATACATGTAATTTCAGTTAATAGATATACAGAAAGGTTCTTTTTTACGGAATATATAGAACTACCAAAAATGGCAATTCATTCTACAAAAAAGGAAACCAAATTGTAGTTTAAAATTTTTGTAAAACCTACGTGACATTTATTGATGATGTGATGATTAAATTTGTGGGCTGGGGGTGGCAAGGATTACAGAGTGTTTACCAACTCTAAGAGTTAATTCTTATTTGTCACATAGGTTCTGTATATTTCATAAAAAGAACCTTTCTGTATATGGCTATTAACAAAAATGAATTTGTGTAATGGACTTCTTTCAAGATGGCTATTAACAAAATGTCAGTTAACTTAAAGAAAAGAAAGATTTGTTGATTTTTGATTAAAGTTTCATTAATGATTATTAATGGTTTTAATTGCAAGCTTCATAGATCTTGCTTTTAACACTTCAATCAACTGCTATATAACTATGAATAATTGATAAAACATTCATCAAGTATAACGATTTAGAAGGACTTTTATTTACATATTTAATAGATGATATTAATAATAAGCACAGATTATAGTTGTAAAAACCAAGGTTTGTTTGTTATATTCACTCTCATTAATTTCGATGTATATAAGATCTAAGTAATTGTGTAACAATTTTATATATTAATATTAATAATAAGCACAGATTATACTTGTAAAAACCTGGGTTTGTTTGTTATATTCACTCTCATTAATTCTGATGTATACGTATAAGATCTAAGTGATCATTTAACAATTTTATATATTAATAATAAGCACAGATTATACTTGTAAAAACCAAGGTTTGTTTGTTATATTCACTCTCATTAATTTCGATGTATATAAGATCTAAGTAATTGTGTAATAATTTTATATATTAATAAATAATATTAATAATAAGCACAGATTATCCTTATGTTACCAGGATCAGATGATGATGATGATGATGATTTGGCCGAACTCTTAATTTTGGGTCAAATTAAATTTTATTACTATTTTTATTTTTATTTTTATTATTTTTATTAATTCTATTTATTGGGGCCATCAGGAAAATATGTTTTTTTTGATACATGTATTATATGTATATTATACGTGTATTATTTTACATTACAGGTGATCCACATATAATATACATATAATATGCATGTCCATAAATTATACGCGAATTATACATATATTATATGCAGATCACCTGTAATGTAAAATAATACATGTATAATATACATATAATATGTGTATCAAAAAACACGTTTTCCTGATGAACTTTCACTGATAGAGCCTGGAGAACTGTTAAACCTAGTACTATTAGAAACTGTTGGAGAAAAACGAATATTTTACCTGATGAACAAGATTCTGACCAAGATACTATTATGGGTGATATTGATGATGATGTTACTGAAATTGATGATGGTATTTCTGAATTACAAGAAAAGATTAATAAGTTGAATCTAGAAAATTTATTGAGTGCAGAAACTTTCATCTGCATTGATGGTGAAATACCAGTGGAAGAATTGACTGATGACCAAATTATAGAAGTAATAAGTCAAGAAGTAGTAGCTGAAATCAACAATCCAGAAGAAGAGAAGGAAGAAGAAACAGCAGTTATTTCTAATATGGAAGCTCTTGATAGTATTGAAAAAATTATCAGATATTGTAAAAACCCACCTGATAATTTTAATATTAAAATGGAAGAACTAAAAGCTTTTAATTCTGTAAAAGAAAAAGTAAAAAGATTAATTCAAGAATCTAAAAAACAGGCTACTTTAGATAGTTATATTAATATGTAAAAACTATTTATGTATAGTTTTTTATAAATAAATATTAATTAAAAAACTTTTGTTATAGTGAACTTTACACAAATTTTATAATATGTTCACTATAAAGAGATCTCTCAGTACAGTTAACATTTGTTACAGTGAACAAAATCTCAGGAACCAAGGGTTCACTGTAACGAGCTTTGACTGTACAGCTTAACAAGAGTTTATATATGTGTCTGACTTATCAAGAATTTTTTAAATATAAAAAAAAAGGGCTGGAAATTTTTGTCCAAGTTAGGCCAAATCTGACTTATCAAGTGTCCAACTTATTGAGTTTACCTATGTATTATGAAAAAAATTTTTTTTATTATACAAAGTCACATGAAATCACGCAAAGTTATAGATAGGAACTTGATTTTTTAAAAAATGTAAAAATTATCTATTTTATTATTTCAAAATAAATAATTTGCTTTGGAGGAGCTGTGGATTCTGGGTATAAAATATATATTAATATAAAAAAAATTATTTTTTTTTTCAAAATGTTGAAGTTTTTTTAAAGTTTATTGAATTTTAATAAATTTTTTTAAAAAACATAATATAATTCAGTTGAACAATGCTGTAACAATTTACTTTGTAATCATATACAACGTCTTGTGTAGCACATCAATATTTACATCTGGAAACGTGACACATAATTAATCATTATTTGTAACATCAATTATTTCGTGTCTTTAATTACTATTTATTATTTACACTGCCTGGAAGAAAGTATCGGGACACACATTTTAATAATTACACAAAATTTTACATAACAATAAATTATAAAAATAATATCATTTTGTGGCTTAAGTATTTGCGAATGTGCTTATAAAATGTCATGTTTCTAGCCTTCATTTATATTTTTTAATTTTAAAAATACAAACTTCAATTAAAATCACAATGATCAACCTTGTATATTTTTTAATTTTGCAATTTCTTAAAATTTTTCATATTAAAATTAAAAGAAATTTATATCAATATGTAGCTTAGGTTCTCAAGAATATTTATTTGAAATTTCATGACTTTACCATGGTTAGACATATTGTTATTTAAAATAAAGGATCTGTGCTAAAATTGATGGATTAAAATTTTTTTGATCTAATTTTTTAAAAATGTTAAAAATGTCTAAAAATTTGGAATTGACTGAAACTGAATGAGGAAAATATTAGGTCTTAGAATAGGTGGTAGTAGTATCAGAAAGATTTCAAAAATACTTAAAATTCCAAAATCTACTGTTCACAAAAATATTCAACGTCATGAGAATGCAGTGAGTCTAAAAAGCGCATCAAGAAGTGGCCGTCCAAGAATGTTAAAAGTAATGATCAAAAAATCCTGAAAGAAATTGTGACAAAAAAAAATCGTAGTTCTGCAGAAGAGATCCAAAAAGGTTTTGTTCAAGTAAGTGGCATTCAAGTATCAACAAAAACTATTCGAAAAAATTTGCATGAACTTGGAGTTTTTTCTAGAGTTGCTGCAATAAAGCCCTTATTAACAGAACAGCAAAGAGAAAATCGATTAAAGTGGTGTTTGGACAGAAGAGGTTGGACTGTGAGACAATGGAAAAATGTCATCTGGAGTGATGAATCCCATTTTAAAATTTTTAGGAGTGATGGACCATCTTGAGTTTGGAGGAAAAATGGCAAACGTTACAATATTGAGAATATCAGACCGTCTGTTAAACATGGTGGTGGTGGAATAATGGTGTGGGGGTGTTTTTCTGGAAAGGGATTAGGACCACTAGTAAAAGTAGATGGACGGATGAATAATCAGGATTATATTGAAATTTTGGAAAATAATTTGATGCCGTTAATTGCAACACAATTTCATAATAGAGGATACAAATTTCAAGATGATAATGCACCAGTGCACACAGCGAATAATGTAATCATTTGGATGAGAGAAAAAATATTGTGACATTACCTGATTGGCCATCCCAGTCTCCTGATCTCAATCCAATTTAACACCTTTGGGATGAGTTGGAAAGAAGATTGAAAAAACGTGAAATTTATCCCAAAAATGCTCGAGAATTGGAACTTGCTTTGCAAGAGGAATGGTCTGAAATTCCTCAAACAGTTTATCACAAAATGATTGAAAGCATGCCAAGGAGAATAGAGGAATACATTGCTAATAATGGGTGGCCAACATGGTATTGATTTATTTGTTTGTAATTTTGATGATAAACAGTAAAAATTTTTAAAAATTTAAATTTAATTGAAGTTCGTATTTTTAAAATTAAAAAATATAAATGAAGGCTAAAAACATGAAATTTTATAAGCACATTCACCAAAATCTAAGCTACGTTTTGATAAAATTTTATGTATAATCATTATGTGAGTTTTTGCGTAATTATTAAAAACAGGTGTCCCGATACTTTCTTCCAGGCAGTGTATCTATGTCCACAAATCTTCCAGATAGATTGATAAGAGTTATTATGATTATTTTATTTACATTTTATCAATCTTTTATTATTATTTATATTTTATTTATATTATATCAATCTATGTAATTTTATCATATAAAGGACATCATTTTTAAGATAATAAAGATAACTTGTATTTTTACAATAATTAAATACCTGTTCGACAAACATGTTATCCTTAAACTGTCCACATTTTCGAATAAGGGAATTTCGAAAAATTTTATTGGTAAATTACAAAATTCCACCAATCAAAATTAACCAAATCGCACAATAAAAAATTTTATTATGAATATATCAATTTTTAAGGTAATGATCGACACGGGCATTGTAGACTTTTTACAGTTTTACAAAACCCATAATAATAATGGCCGAATGGTTATGAAGCTTCCTATTTTGAGGATTTAACTGATAATATGCCTATCCTTAAAAACAAAGCTGTAAAAGCTAAAAGCCCAGTGGCTAAAGCCAAAACTACTGCGCTGGTGTCTGCTAAAAATAAAGCCAAAAACACTCTCGCTTATTACCAATGTATGTGCCACCAAGCCCAAAAAGGCATCAAACCCAAGAAAATCACCCAAGTTGCTCACGAATGTAAAACTAATGCTTTAATTATCAATGCCAAAATGTCGGTTCAAAAAACTAAAGCTGCGAAGAAAATCAAGCAAGGCTACGAACAGCATTTCTATATATAGATCAATGTATAAAATCTTAAATATCATTTGTTAATTAGAACGCGTGATGATTAGAAAAATTTTTCTATATAAAAAAATTTAATCGTACAAATTTGTATGATAGCCAGTTTAAGGGATAATATTGTTTTTATTTTCATTAAGAAAAGTAATTCTTACAAATGCTTTGTTGTCATAGAACTCAACTTGATTCCAATGGTAATTCTTGTATAATTTTTTTATAATAAATTTATTGATTGTTATTATTACTAAACTCTACATTTATTAGATTTATGACATTTTTTGATGCCTCAGCTTTACATGCAGCAGCATAGCAGGTAATCCAACTTTGTATAGATTCTACTCTTGGAATTGATTCTTGATTTATTTCATCATCTTCAGCCATCTTTATTAATTCAGAATACATATCTTGAGCAGTATAACAATCACTTTTATCAACAATACCTGCATGAAAAAATACTTGTAAAATGGTTATTATTTTTTTGGGAAATTTTGCTCCACCTTTATTCCCGAATTTTTGATTTTCTTTTAATGCCCATCCTTTTTTCAAAAATTCATCAGAAATGGTTAATTTATCATTATAGATAATAGTAATTAATAGATTTTAAAAGACTCCCAATATTTGATTTGGTTGGACTGTTAAGTTGCTTGGTTTGTATTTATTAATTTCATTGCCTGATAAACAATTTTATTTTTCAAGTAAGTTTGTAAAATTAAATTTGTATATTTAAAATAATAGAAAATTTCTAGACAATTAATTACCCATATTTTTAGGAATTGACAAAGTATAAGGTAAATTTGGTGTGGTTGGGATAGAAACTTGTGGTTGAGGTTTAGTAACTTTTGCTTTTGATAATTTTTGAATCTGTGCCAGGGAGAAAGTTTTCCATCCACCTATATTACGCAAGTATCTAGCTCTAATATAACCAGCATATTGACCTTCTGTTGTAGTGTTCCCTGTCGCAATCCAAAAAAGGAAACAAAATGGTTGTAAAGGTGGTTGCAACCATTTTTATATGACGCAAAGATGGTAGCAACCATCATCAAAAGTTGCAGCTGGTATCCTTATTCTGTTGGCCATTGCCATTCAAACCAATTGGATATACCTGGTATTGTTTTATTTTTCCTTTATTTTTTTCCCTATTTGGTGTCATATTTGCTACTGAAGTGCCTAGTAAACCTGTAATATTACATCCTAATCTAACATATCTTTCAACTGAATGTGCAATCTATAAAAAGCAAAATAAATAATTAAAAAATATTATTAATAAATTTAATTTACCTGAGCATGATGAGAGTCAATTGTAGTTTTAGCTTCACCAGGTTCAAGAAAAATTCATTATGATGTAATATCATACCAATCCTTCCAATATGACAAAATTATCATTAATTCTGAATTGTGATAATGAGGCCCATTATCAGAAATAATTGTTACCCATTTTTGTTTTTTTTGTCATGGTTTCAAAAACTGCATTTAAGGAAGATGCTGTAAACCATGCATCTTGTTTTGTATCATCAGACCAATGATTGTATGCAATTATGTTGTAGTTTTCTTGATTTTCTGATTTGGTGTACATTAATACTGAATGTAATGTCCACCCATGTTTCCCAAAAAATTCAGTTTTGGTCTCTTGAGCTGTTTTTGGCAATATCCTCATTTTATAGTCAATGATTATTACAGCACCATTTTCATCTAATTCTATAAATTTGATCGAAATTGAGTATTTAAATAAACTTTTTTTGCCTGATGTGTTAAATAATAATATAATTTTTCCCTGTAATTCTTAATATTTTCTAGTTCATTTTCTGGAAATAATGGAATTTTAAACAACCCTTGCATCTTAAATTATGCTCCTCATTACATGTACCAAAAGCATATAGCAAGCAATGATCAAGATATTTATCATGTTTTAATTCCCCATTTTCACCAATATTAATCCTTATTTCATTCTCATAATCTTTTTTCATGTGCCTTCTAATTAGTTGAATTTCTTCAGATAATTCTTTCTATTGTGAGATTGTAAACCGTGGACCAACCAATTGACCGTTAATATCGACCAATTAGACGAACTTATTACGGAAGTCATGTGATGCGCTAAATATTACATCACGATTAACAATCATCTTTCTATATTTATTGCAACGGTTGCACGTCATGTTACACATGTAGATCATTACATCATTTCTATTTTTAACTTATTTTATGACATAATTATTTACTTCGAATTATTAATTCAATTATTTGTAATAATGACTCATAGGATTACTCATTATGAGTCATAGCATTAGTAATTAATGATTAGTAAGCTAGTATTACAGAAAATAGGATTAATAAGCATATTTTATTGGACAAAATATTGTAAAGGTCATGTTACTTGTAATACCTCAAGAGGTATAAAAAGGCTTGGTTTTAGACCAAGTGAGAAGGGAAGATCGTGTTAATAACATTAATAATAATTGAATAAATAATCTCCCCCCGTTGTTAATATTAAATAAACACATTTTACCTTATTACTAATTTTTGCATAGTTAACAGGAAAAGCCATTGTAAATTGTTCCATGGTCCTCTCTGATGATTAGTGGCTGGCCACTAATCATTAGTTAGAAACCCCCCATTTGATTGTTCCATGCTGCTTGTAGGGACGCCTCAAGTGGTATAGTTGTAAATATTTCTTGTATATATTTTTTTTATTTATCATTTTTAGGCCAGCAGTACTTCTATTAGTACTGTAAAGAGAGATTGCGCAATAGAGTTTTGAGTAGGCTCTGAGCTGTGTGCCGTAACAGGGAGATTTATATATTGGACTTTTATTTTATTTTATCTTATATATTTTATTGGACACAACCTGAGCTGTAATTGAATTTACACGCTCGCAATATTATATATAGATGATGATATAAATAAAAAATTAATAAATGGATTAATAAATGAATAAATATACTATAATAAAAAATTAATAAATGAATTAATAAATGAATAAATATACTATGAATAAAAAATAAATAAATGAATTAATAAATGAATAAATATACTATAAATAAAAAATAAATAAATGAATTAATAAATGAATTAATAAATGAATAAATATACTATAAATAAGATTATAAAATAATTACCTGAATATTACTATCATTTATATATTTTATTATAACTTTATTTAAATCATCAAATACACCATATTCATAATCAGCACAAATTGAACATAGTCCACCTAAGTCATCTCTATATTTATACCTACAATTTTGTAATTGAAGCATGAAGGTTGTCCTTGACATTCCACCTGGGTATATTTCTGAGTATTTTTTCCACAAAGATTGCTTCTGATCTTGTAAATATAATATTGGTAATTAGATTTAGGATCAACTTTAAATGAGCTCATAGAAACATTAGCTTTATCAGAAAAAAAGGCATCAAATTGTGATTTTATCTCTTCTGTGATTCTAGATCTTTGGGTATAAACTGGTTTTTCTAAAGGCTTACATCCACGCCCATAAATTTGTGCAGACTTTTTTGCACCTGATATAGAATTGGGTGAAACCTAATAAAATATATTTGTATTAAACAGCTTAATAAGCAGCCTATTATATATAAATAAATTATTAGATGCTATTGAAAAATTTACCTCCAATTTTTTTTGTAATGTGTCATATGAAAAATCTTGTGCAATAATGGACAGTATTCTCTGCTTTCCATCTAACCTCATTTATTTTCATCAAGGCTTTGCTTGAAACAACTCCAAAAGATTTCATTACTATTGTAAGATGGATATGCACTTAAAAAACCAGATTTATATAAAAAATCAATATTATTTTTGTCAGGTTTAGGATCAATAGCTCTAGTCCAAAACCTATACTGAAATGAATAAATGTTAATTTGTATATTAATTAATTAGTATGCTCATTTAGATAAAAATGATCATTTGAAATTACTTTAACTTACAGGTGAAATTTTATTACTGAAAGGAGTGATATTTGTACAACCCACAGCTCTTAGAATTGCATTCCATGTTTGTAATTCATGATCACTAAACTTATGATTTAAGGGATACATTTTTTCTAAAGAGGAATGAAGCTCTATCATACTAGAATTTTGTTTATGCCATTTATAAAAAAATTATACCAGTTTATGTTTGCAATTGTTTTTTTTTTAGATAATAATCAAATATTTTTTGCATTAAACCCACATCATCCCAATCATTTGGAGTACAAGCCAAAGTTTTCAACTCTTCCAG